TATGCTGATGACACACAAATCTTTCTATACCTCACCTCTTCAGTCTCCTCTCGCATTACTAACCTACTAAGTGACATATCGGCATGGATGTCACTCCACTTCCTTAAACTCAATCTTTCCAAAACTGAGCTCTTAGTATTCCCCCCAGCCTGTGCCCCCTCCCCTGACTTCTCCATCAAGATCAATAACACAATCATCAGTCCCTCCCCCCATGCCAGTGTACGAGGTGTAATCCTAGACTCCCATCTGTCCTTTCAGTCCCAAATCCATTCACTGTCCAAATCTTGTAGACTTCACCTCCACAACATCTCCAAGATACGCCCGTTCCTAACCTCGGAAACCGCTAAGCAACTTATTCACTCCCTTGTTATATCTCGCCTTGACTATTGTAACTCCCTCCTCATTGGCCTACCTAATCGCAGGCTATCCCCTCTTCAGTCTATCGTGAATGCTGCTGCCAGACTCATCCACCTTATTAACCGTTCTGTATCTGCCACCCCTCTCTGCCAATCCCTCCACTGGACATGTGACAGCTGTGAGAGAAGGAAACAGCGATCACAGCTCGAGCATGGTGTGTGCCCCAGGGGGCGTGTGGGGGGTGTGGTTCTGGGAGAACACCCATGGACTTCCTCCCAGAACTAACTGACCATGCTGTACCATCTTTTGGCTATAGCGCAGTCGGGAACTGGTCAATTGTACTACAAATTGGTCACCGCTGGCTCCACACTGGATCTCATACATGGCGAATTGTACCAGTTATTATGTGACGATGTGACTTCTATTCTCCTATAACATGCCTGTGTTTTTCCACTACTCTGAGTGCTCTGGTTATTCTGTGTTCCTTAAAGTCTATACCAGACTTGAAGGGCCTGGTATGAATTTTGGAGTAGACACCACTCCCGGGCACACCTTTGCAGCATTAGATCAACACTTTAGAAGTCCAGGGGTTGTTGTGCACACCACAGTTGGTGGCATAGTCCATGGTTGGTGGCATCCTCAATGCTAATTGTCCTCATCTGTACATTGGACAGCAGTAGCACACTGGCACATACTCTAGACTGGAGCACTCTCCCAGGATAGAGTAAGAGCCCCCCCAGGATCTCAGCCTTCCCCCAATTTATATCACAGGTGGATCGGCTGAAGCCCCCCAAAAAACCCACCACTGGGAGCAGTAAAGTTAACCCTTTCCCAACCCAGCCTGGGCTGCTGCCTAACTATGCAGTTTTCAACCTGCCTACACATGCCCCATTTTTTGCTAGCCTTCCCAGCTGTGACACAGTACAACTTTAAATAACATTACATAACAACCTGTTAAAAAAATAATGCATACAGTTTCAATAAATATTCAACATTACAACAGTACAGTAACAGCATATGGAATGTACAGTTCACACATAGTAATCTGGGTCCAGGAGAAGGACCCTTTTCTCCTGTGGTGGGGTGACTTCTAACAACTTGGTGTGTAGTTGTCACCCAGTTTAACCAGCTCTATCCAGTCAAGGTAGATATGTTACCCAGTGTTCCACTCACAATAGATTTGATGGAATCGGGCCTAAATAAATTCATTTTGCTCTCTGAACTTTCCAAGGTGCTCTGGTACCCACAGTTTCTCCCAAGCAAATTGGCTGTAAATCTTTGGTCTCTCTTCTGCCGGAATAGAGGTTAGGGAACATAAGAGAAAGTGTACCCAAACTTGGACATGATTATCAAAATGTCTTGGGCATTTGGCCAGCCTAGTCAGCTTGTGACCCAGGGGGACTGTACATGCAAGGAGAAAGGTGCCATCTGGACAGTGTGGTCTCCCCTGTGGTCAGCTGTATGCCTTGGGTGGTAAAAGGATCTTGTTTGGGAAGCACAGCAGTGGGAGGATGGACATTCCTTCTCGTTGGTGCCAAAAAATATACGCAGTATAGTGGACGGGGTCTACCACACGTGTACTAGGGGTACCTTTGCCAAAAGCATGCTCATCAATGCCTGGGACCTAGGCAATCAGGAAGTTTTCAACCTGCCTACAGGTGTCTGACTATATTCTGTGAAGAGAAAGGCTTGTGTAATTAAAGTGTTTCAGTGTTGAGTAATACCAGCAGACTTATCTTATAGCCACTGCTGGGTTTTGGGCACGGAGGTTCCGGGATCCCCTTTTCTTCTCCTGCACTCCCTACCCCTTTTTTTTCCTCTTGTCTTCGCAAACTCTCTCTCCTACACCTCTGGGTTTCCTCTCCATCAGTTTCTATATCTGCTCTACTTTTGAGTTGAAAGGGAGTCTTGTGGACAACTGGTCTACTCCTGCTGACCATTAAGGAAAGAAACCGATGTTTGTGCATGTATTTGACCAGCTTGAAGTCTATGTGTTTGAAAATTGTTGTTGACGCTGGGCTCACTGCCATGTTATCATGAAAAACTTTAGAGAAAGTGTTTCAGTTTTATAATATAACCCTTTTTACTAAAAGATATGCAAATCCATAGGACTCTAATTTGTGCCAATGTAAAAAAGGGGGATTTTGTGAGTACAGAGAATATGGCATATACACAATATTGCCAAAAGTATTGGGATACCCCTCAAAATCATTGGATTCAAGTTTTCCAATCACCTCCATGGCCACAGATGTATATAATCAAGCACCTAGGCATGTAGACTGCTTCTACAAACATTTATGAAAGAATGGGTCGCTCTCAGGAGCTCAGTGAAAGCGTGGTACTGTGCCACCTGTGCAATAAGTCCATCCGTGATATTTCCTTGCTACTAAATATTCCACGATCAACTTTTAGTGGTATTATAACAAAGTGGAAGCAACTGGGAACAACAGCAACTCAGCTACGAAGTGGTAGGCCATGCAGGGTCAGTGCATGCTGAAGCGCACAGTGCGCAGAAGTCGCCAACTGTCTGCAAAGTCAATAGCTAAAGACCTCTAAACTTCGTGTAGCCTTCAGATTAGCACAACAACAGTGTGCAGAGAGCTTCATTAAATGGATTTCCATGGACGAGCAGCTGCATCCAAGCCACACATCACCAGGTGCAATGCAAAGCATCAAATGCAGTGGTGTAAAGCACTGCCACTGGACTCTAGAGTAGTGGAGACGTGTTCTCTGGCACGACGAATTACGCTTCTCTGTCTGACTGCATTGTGCCAAGTACAAAGTTTGGTGGAGGGGGAATTATGGCGTGGGGTTGTTTTTCAGGGGTTGGGCTTGGCCCCTTAGTTCCAGCGAAGGGAACTCTTTAGGCATCAGCATACCAAGACATTTTGGACCATTTCATGCTCCCAGCTTTGTGGAAACAGTTTGGGGATGACTGCGTACCAGTGCCAAACCAAGTTATATAAAAGACATGGATGAGCGAGTCCTGACCTCAACTCAATAGAACACCTTTGGGATGAAATAAAGTGGAGACTGCGAGCCAGGCATTCTTGTCCAACATCAGTGCCTGACCTCACAAATGCGCTCCTGGAAGAATGGTCAAACATTCCCATAGACACACTCCTAACCCTTGTGAGCAGCCTTCCCAGAAGAGTTGAAGCTGTTATAGCTGCAAAGGGTGGGCCAACTCAATATTGAACCCTACGGACTGAGACTGGGATGTCATTAAAATTCATGTGCGTGTAAAGGCAGACGTCCCATTATTTTTGGCAATATAGTGTATGTGTGGTACTTACTATTAAGCCATGCCCAATATTCAGCATAAGTTAAACATGCCCTTTTTTGTCATGGCATGCTGGCACATGTCTAACAGATATCACCCCCTGCTACAGTCTCTCAGCTTGCTACAAGGTTGCAATTTCTGATCACTTCCTCCTGCCTGTAAAAGAATGGCGACATCATCACATCTAAGGCAAAGGACTGGAACTCAAGGATTGGGGTTTTTTGTTTTTTTTTTTATAATAAAGGCTTTAACCTAACCACAGCTTTAACTACTTGAGCTCCGAAAGGTTTTATTCCCTTAATGGCCATAGCATTTTGTGCTCTTCAGCACTGCTCTACTTTAACTGACAATTGTCCGGCTATTCAGCACTATACACAAATTAAATTTTTATAACTTTTCACACAAATAGAGCTTTCTTTTGGTGGTATTTGATTACCATTGTGTTTTTATTTCTTGCAATATAAACAAAAAAAGACAAAACGTTTTGAGAAAAAAAAACAATAATATTTTCTATATAAAACATATCCGATAATAAAATTGAATTTCTTCATAAGTTTAGGCAAAACATTATTTTGTTCTTTGGTAAAAAAAAAAAAAAACTCCAATAAGTGTATATTAATTGGTTTGTGCAAAAGGTATAACATCAACAAATTATGGCACATATACTGAAATTTATGCAGCAATAACACTAAACTAGTAATTACGGTGATTAGCGGCTTATAGAGGGGCTGTGATAGTGTGGTGGGGCAATCTTGCACTAGCTGACAGTGGTTGGGAGGTACACTAACTGACACTGACATCAATAATAACACTAATATAGTGATCAGTGCTAACACTGTCACTGTACTAATGTCATTGGCTGGGAAGAGATTAACATCTAGGGCAATCAAAGGGTTAACTGTGTGCCTAACAATGTGTAATGTGCGTTATATCAGCTGCTTCTACTGTACCATATGGCGGTTTATTCTCCCTGCACATCCTGATGGCTGTTCCCTGTGTAGAGTTCTGTGCTTTGTAAACACAGAACTGTGTGTGTGATTGGATACAGCCGATCAGCTGACTTCAGCCAAAGTCATTGGCTGAAAGCAGCTGCCAAACTTGTGCTGTGTCCAATCACAGCAAAGGTCGGCAGGGGGCGCACACATGCACATCCCAAACCCAGAAGAAGGGTCATGATGTACCGGAATGTCGTCCAGCCTGCAGCTCGCAGTACAACTAATGTGGGTGTGTAGCAAGCAGTTAAATACAATAAGTAAACATTATCTTACAACAAGCACATATTAGTCATGTCATATGGCAGTTTATTTTATGTTGGTGTTTACTGTAACCAAAGTATTGCCAAAATATAAAAAAAAATAAATGTCTAACTTCATTTACTCACATAGTAAAATCCATCCTCATCAATCTCACCAAAAACAGTAATGATATCTCCTGTGCAGAAGGTTAACTCAGCCTGCAGAGATTAGAATGAAAAGTGTTACTTGATAGTCAATGTGCTTTTTGAATTTGAATGTTGCCTATTTTGGCAGGTAATGTCAGAAAAGCATGTAAAGTCAGCACACTTCTTTGAGGTTAAGGGATACCATGGAATACAAACAACCGCAAAAGAAATAGCATTTTACTTGTGTAGTGAACTAATTGCCAGTTACTGCATCAGATGTGTTTGGCAGGTTGAGTACTTATATGACCGCAAGTGAGTTTTTTTGGCTTTTTTTTTTGTCTGTGGGGGGGGGGGGGGGGGGGGATATCATGAAATTCCTTTGTGTATATTAATGGCACAAGTTTCTTTGTTCCATTAATATACCATACTTTAAAGAAACACTTCTTTGTTACATTAATATACCACACTTTAAAGACATGTATATGCTTACAATGTGCTATTTTATATAAATAGGTTTTCTTTGTACCAAACATTACTTGCATATTATTGAGATGCTGGATTTGGAATTATAGCTTGATATGGTTTATAGATGAAGAGAACATTTTACCTCAACATCAACGTTAGGTGAGCTTTCCCTTGGGTCGTAGTCATACAACGCCACCATCCTCCTCGTAGACACTGAATGCTGCCTCCCACTTCTCCTGTTTCGCTCTGCGTCAATCACAGAAGAATGTATATGCTTCATTTGAAAACCAACTCTCCAATCAACAATTATATTACATGATAAAACCAACAAGCTGGACAAAAGACCAACGGAGTGGACATAGAAGCTGAAATGGACAGTGATGACAATTCCCTGCGACATACCACCTCTAGACCTGACTTATAAAATATTTCTCCATTAGATGATCCTTTGAGCATGACTCAAAACAATGGCCACTGTTTATGTATCAGCACAAATTTACAACTTTTTTTTACCATTTTGTTCTCCAAGCTGCATCATGTTCAAAATGATCATAGGAACAACTGTTAATTCAAATGAGCAGGTTTTGTTCCCGCACTGACCATTGTAGAATTGTGCCCCAATATACTTTGCTCTTTGTATGTCTTGATGTTCAGGGCAATCGGTGTGGACTATTACATTTTCATTTTGTTGCTGTATCTCAAAACTGTACTAATTAGGTTGCTTAACCCTAAATGGCATCATAAATTATAAATATCTTCCAGTGAAAATGTTTAATTAATTACATTGCATGCTCCAAGCAACATCACAACAATGTAAAGTAGAATGAAACAATATTGAATTAACTTCAAAAATTAATGTTTTCTTATTAAGTAATCAGCAGTGGCATGTATCTAGTCCTCAACCATACCTGCATAATGCTTGCAGTCTTTGGCCATCTCATGTAGCATGCCTGCAGTACCTAACTATCCACCGCACCATTTCCAGTCTCTGACTGTTTTCTGTAGCATTACATACACTGAACATTATGTGCAGCCCTTTGGTATGTCAGGGGCTTCATTTGAGGTCCCCATATCAATTAAGTTGACCACCACTGCACTTAGTTATCAAAAAAGAGAAGCTGAAATGATTTATCCAGAAAACTAACCCCAATTTAGCTGACACGTTGCACCTTTTAACATCCCTGTTATTGACAGAAAAGTCTCACAAACTAAACGTCTGATAAGATCTAAAATCTGGTTTTATATGATGTATTAAATGAGAAAGGGCTGGGGGTGGACAATGAATTATTTGTTGTGAATTAATGCCTTAATCCCTTATCATATACTGCTTTCTTCAATACTGTGGTATACTTTATAATCCCATAAATCACATCAATATTTTAAAAATGTGCTATTTTTTCCCCCCAACTTTCTTCGACTTTATACTTGATTAATATTTATATAACTACTTGCAAAGTAACTTAGAAGTAACTACAAATATTAGTATTTACTGTATTATATGATCAAAAATAGCTCAGTTCAACCTAAAGCAATAGAAGATTGTGTATAAGGTACTGTATATACACAGTCCTGTTGAGGTTAGGGAGTAACAGCAGCAGGAGTCATTGTCAAAAATGATGCAAGCTCAAAGGACAAAACATGCTTGTTAGTTTAACTTACAAAATACATAGTATATTTAGACAGGTCATATTAGCTTGTGTATTAACTGAATAAAGTTAGGGTTTGTTTAGCACAGACCTCGTTTAGACTTTCTGGATCTGCGGTGTACAGAGCGAGAGCTCTCTTTGAAACGTTCACAGTTGACTTCAGGAAAGGAATGCATATAAATAAAAGAAGAGGAGAACATATGAAGCTGTTTAGAGTTCTACTGTCAACCTAGAAACGCTCAACTTGGAAAGTGAATGTAACTGACTTTGTGTTTTTGTTTGTCAAGTGTAAAAAAAGTCAAGATGTATGTAAATATCTCTAGAACAAATGTACACTAATACTAACCATTCTAAACAATGTGCTTCAAAATGTTTTACAAATTTGTATTTAAGTAAACTAATTGGTTCACACATCTATTCTTTTTTCAATTTTTCCCAGCTTCTTTATGAAGAACGTGTGTATAATAAGAAAATTGGGGTTTATGATTCGCCTTCTTCAACTACACGAGTTAAGGGAGAAGTTCAGCAATGCAAGTTAAAGCATGGGGTAGCACCAAAATTTTATGGCTTGTTTGCATGTGAATACACTCGAGAAAAGTGCTTCCCCTTGAAGGAGGCCAGAGCCAACCACAACCAATTTGTTTAACAAAGAAACAATGCCATTACAGCAGCAAGTTGTAATCATGTTACAGGTCATTACCAACACAGAGAACATACCCCAGAATTATATTCCCATTACCCTTCTATAATAAAGTTGTTACCACCCTAACATCTTACTAGTTAAAAGTGATAAGTAACAGAGACATCAATTTTACTCAGTCCCATGGATTATGGCTTACCATCAGAAGTCTTATAATAAAGATGGAACAATATCTCCACATTGTATCTCATTTTTAGCCTCTTCACACTGCAATCTGAAGTGCAATCTGTCTCCAGAACACCAATAAAGCCAAGCGCTCAAGTACAGGTTTCCTCAAATAACTCAAGTTACTTGCAAAAATACAGGGGTATTTCTCCAGGGGGAAACTGAGAACAATAAAAACGTACCCTTCCCCACAACTAAAAAAACTTTTGACTTACACTTTAACCTGATAACTGCTTTGGTCCTCTACCACTGGGAAACCTATAAGTGCCTAATTTAAGTTGGGAAAGTCAAATCATGCTTAGTGATGATCTTTAACATTTTTGGAGTGAATTGGTTTGCTAACAGGAGGTTAGTAGCAGTGGTATATTGTTTTTGTTCCTTGCTTTGATGTGCTTGGAAGACCTATACTTAGTTAAAATGATCAAGGTCTATACATTGAATGCACATTAGACCCAAGCATAAACCAACTGTAATGAGATACAACATAGGTGAGTGTTTTCTCTGCTATGCATGTTTATTGATGGTATGTCACAATCTAGGAGTTTAAGAATGGGTCCTCACAAATGTTGAAAAATGTATTTAAGGTGGATTTTTTTTATTGAATTTGATCTTTTTTTTTTTGCCTAACTTTTCATTTTTTTTTTAACTTTGTCATGGCAGTTTTCCATGTCAAGCTTTCATGAAGTAAAGAAAAACTAAACAAAACATGAATTTTTAAACTAAGGTGAAAAGCAATTATTTGGCTGATCTTCATAATAGGTCAGCTGTTGCATACCTTAAGATAAAAAGAGAAGTGAAGAAATCAAGTGCAAAAAAAACCCATCTGGACAGAGCAATGCTACTGGTAATTCCCAATGGGATAAGCATAATATGCAGATACCAATAGCCAATGAAAGACTTGTATCCCAGGACAGTGCATTAAAAAGTCAATAGCGGGTAAAGCAGGAGACGAATAATGCAGACTGTAAGAAACTTTGTAATACCTACCAATTTTTTCCACAGGAGTATTTAGTGGCAGAAATCCTTGTTTAAGAAGCTGATCCATCATTTCCTCATCATCAGCTTGAATTTCAGAGACCATGTTACAGGGGATAAAGCCAGATCTCCCACAACTTTCACCACGGTAAAAACCATCAGAGTCTTTATCACCATAAACCTATAGATGAGTTGGTTGGTTCAAGAGAGGAAAGTTACTTTCTATCAGAAGGATTTAGAGATTATGTTCCAAATACTTTTCAAAGTCAATGTATTTATTTAAGATCCAGTAAATTTACAGTGCTGATGCTATTATATTTTTTCTGAAGACAAAGTACAAAAAATGTTAACTAGATTCAGAATAGGAATCCATTCTCGACCCATGGCCATCAGGTTAAGGAAGTTTGACCAATTCAGAATTCAGGTGATTATTAGTATACACAAGCAAATTTAAAATCCTGTCACCATAAAAAAAAAAAAAAAAACATTAATTTTTGTTTGTCCTGTTAATTTAGGATATAGAATTCTTCTATGTTAATCATACAGTACAGGGCACAGGCAACTTATACACCAGGGATTATAGATTTGTACCATCAGGTGATTGGACACTGGCAAGCTTTTGAGAACATGTTTATCTGGGGAACCTCCCCTGACTCACTTCGTTAGTCCTCAGTTTTATGCTAGTGTCTGAAGGAGATAGACTTCTCTTTCATGGAGAAAACAGCTTCACTAGTTTTTTTTTTCTTTGTTATTTTTTTAAGATTTTTCAATCATCCCTCACTGTCTTCAAAAGCCTACATAGCAGTGTATCAGGATCAGTGCAACTTCTGTAAAACCGTGAGAGCCATACCCAGACCCCATACTGTGGGGATGGCCTGTAATATTTCTTCAGGCACTGGATCCTGAGGGGGTTACTGTCCTTCTGGACACCCTTACCCTATCTTCCACAGTCTACTCCATAAGTATCCCACAGGGGAATACCCTCACTTCTAACTTTGGCGGAGATCAGGCGAAAGGTAGCCAATTCGAAACATCAGGTTTACTCTACTGAAGGCCCGCACAACATTCAACCTCAGAGTGATGATGCGTCTCTTGCACTGGTGCAGGACCTGGTTCTAACAGCAGCCTCAGCATCCAATTCCAGCTTTATTTCACACAAGTGATCCTACTTGACAAAAGCAGATTTTTCTGCATCTAGGTATGCCACAATTTCTTGGAGAGATTACAGCCTTTATACAGCCATCTTTGTCCAGGGCTCAGAATTGCCTTGCCTGCCTCTTCTAACACTTCAGTTTCCTAACTGGAGTCAGACCCTGATATGCTGGTTCTAGAAGACACATAATTGGAGGGGAATGAACAGACTGTTGAGGTTAGATGATTCTGTAGAAGATTTCTCTCCCCCAGTTTGTCACTATATTGAACATGGAGCTTCACACAATATGCTTGCTAACATTAAAATGTTCATTGACTGATTGTCTGCAAAACACATTGTGCAAATTGACTCTCCTGCAAAACATTACCTGTTCATGAACAGATGGAAAACTGCAGTCTATGATGACTGAGTCACTGCTGAAAGGATTTTCAAAAAACTTTCCTGAACTCAGGTGGAAGTAGGCTATTCTTGTGTTTTGCCCTACTATTTTTGTCCTCAATAAACATCTCACTGTACCTGTTTAGGATGATTCCACTCATCCCTGCAACCAGCTCTTGCTGCTATTTCTGTATGTCAAACTGTAGCTAACTTGACCAGGTCAATGAATAACCAACAAGACCCTATTTTTCAGGATCATGCTGTTACAAACCCAGGTCTTAAGCCCTTTCCACCCATCCTAGAATCCTTTTAAATAGTTTGGAATGCCCAGGAGACTGGAAGGATCGGTGATCATATGACCACTGTAACATGTGTGGCATGTGGGTGTTAAAGTCTGTGATTTCTACCTTTCTGAACGGGAGAAGTGCCACTTCCAAGAAGAACAATTTATTGTGCCTGGAAATCTTACTTTACTTGGTGTGAGGGCAGTCAATTCAACCTCAGAGATTTCGCTTTGCCTCAGATTCTGGCCTTCCTGCCACATTCTTGACCAAAATCTAGCTCTCAGCAGCCGAAAAGGGCAGGTATTGACCTTATCTATAATTTTTCATAGGCTTCTGTCTTCACACTCCCTTTTAAAAACCTCTATTCAAAGTGATTCTTGTGCACCCTTTGCTTCCCTGGGACCTATATTTTGTTTACCCTTCCTAGTTGAAGCCACCCATTGAACCCATCAGGGATATTTCCTTGGAAATGCTTACCAGCAAAGTAGAATTTGTGGTAGCCATCAGAGCCTTTCCTCATACTTCAGGGCTGTATTACACTCAAAATAATCTTTTCTTCAAAAGGTGGTTTTTACATTCCATCTCAATGAGGACATTATCCTGTCATCCTTGTACCCTGCTCCTAAGCATCCAAAAGAGTTCTCTCTACATTACCTGAACATAGTGTGGGAACTCGCTTCAAAATGGTAGAGCTTCTTCAAAGCACACAGCAACTCACTTCTTTTTAAGGGCCTTTATGCCCAATTTTATTTAAAGGAAAAAGTTCAATAACGAAAATGCTTCCCACACAGGGGTATCCACCATCACACAAATGTAACAAATTTCAGCCTTCTGGCTCTCTCAGGTATACCGCTTTATGTCTGTCTCCTGCAGACTCCTTCCAAAAGGTTGGGTTTTTTTGGGGTTTTTTTTGCACACAGCTAGTCTGACTTTCATCTCTCCTTGGTGAAGGCCACCTGACTCCAAGGCAGAGACCTCCCGTCTGCGAGGGTGGAGCCCAGAATCATGGCCTGGCCTCCACAAAAAGGCCTGCACACACCTGTGCAATCGGCACGCTGGCTGCTCTCAAAACATGGGCCCAGGACTGGAGATTTCATTCCTCCCAAATCTCTTAGAAATCTCCAGGCTACAGGTCCCAAAAACAGGCTTTACAAACCAAAGAGGAAACCAATAAACCCATTTCCTCTGCATTATGAGAACTGCCTGGAGCCCCTCAACCTGTATGGTTGAGAATCCTGGGTCACCACTGTGATTTCTACCGTGGCAGGATACCGCACTGCCACAATAGTCAAAGGCATTAGAGTGTGCCTATAAGCTAATGCTTCCATTAGACAAATGGATTCCCTGTTTGTTCTTTCCTCAGGACCTTACAAAGGGGCACCCTGCTTCAAAATCCATCATTGCATGCTGGATCAGGAACTTGACTGCAACAACTTATCCTCCTGCTCTGTTAAACATCCACTCTAACCAATCTGTAGGAGATTCGTGGGCTTTTAGGCACCAAGCCTCTGTTTCTAACTTTATATGGCCACTACCTAGTCTTTTGTTCATACTTTCTCAAAGCTTTACCAGGTGGATGTCCAATCTGCTGTGGATGCAGCTTTTGGCTGTAAGGTACTTGCACAGGCACTCTGAGCTTGAATCCTTGCCCCCGGTATTTTATGTTGGGCCTGTTGGCACAGTTCCCTTTGCCTAGTTGTTGCCCACCCTTTGTATTTATTGCTTGGGGACATCTCATGGTCTATGATTAAGTTGCCTGTGACTTGTACTATCTAAGGTCTGACCTACCTGTAAATTCCATATATTGGAGTACAATACAGAATACAGGCCACCCTCCCCAACTCTCCTTGATTACTTTGCATTGCTTGCTACAAATTTGAGGATTCATGGAGTGGAGTAGAGTTATAGGGGAGGTGCCCCAAAGGGAATGTGTCCTCAAAAGCTTGCCAGTGTCCAATCACCTGAAAGTACGAGCCTATAACCCATGGTGTATGTATGAATAAATTGCTTGTGCCCTGTCCTGTACTCCAAGATATGGAATATACAGGTAAGTCAAAATTTCTTATATTGCCTGCTGAATGAAAGCATATATAATGTAATAGAAAGAAGTGCTAAGCAGTGATCTACATAGTATTATTTTGTCATTGAAATAGCCAGTTTCAAAATTATAGTCTCTTTGACATTAACCTGCTAGTTGTTTACAAGTTTTGAACAAAAATGAACCAAGGAATTTGACAGTAGTGCACACTAGTCAAGTTAGATTCATAAACTTTAACCTAGTTTACAAGTATTCTTTTGAAAGAATCTCCCGACTTGGCACTAATCAGCTGGGGATGACTGACCTACTCACAAAACAGTGAGATCTTACAGTCCCCATAGTGGTTTCTTTGTTCACTTTGGAATCTCAGGATCTGAATGTCAATTAAAGGTTTGCATACAGTGTAAGAAGTCACCTTAATTATTTGTCCCTCCTTAAAGGGAAGTTCTTCCTCTGCAGCATCTGGATTCGGGGACATGGTTCTTGGGTCATAGTCAAAAAGTGCCACAAATATTCTTGCAGGATAATCCTCCATCCCACCATCTGTTTCTGATTCCTCATACATTTCAGATGAAATCTGCTCACGGCTGCCATAACTATCTGAAGGAAGAGTCAAAATATACACAGCAGTCTTTGCATGCTCCACTGTATTGACCAATTTTTAGACACTGAGGCAGAGTGCAAAAAGTACACAAAACAGCACACATCACAAGACATTTACAAAGAAAACAAAGCCAATTTCCCCTGAAAGCAAGTATTTTACCACAGTGCTGCAGTATGGTCAGCATCAGCTAACTATATGTGGAATTTCTTTTGCACAGTAAGCTTGGTTAATTATGCCTTTAAATAGAAAGCAGTATGTAAGGAGCACACAAAACCATTGTAGCAACAGCTGAATATCAGGCATCTTCACATACAAATTTTTGTTAGATATGAGAGGCCAATGGAAGAAAGTGCATGCAATGCAGGGTACTACACGACACATACAGCATGGCTGAATGGCAATGATGGACATGAAGTTGGTGCAATCCTACCTTTCTTTCCCCTACGCTGGGACATTCTAGGTATGTGGGAATGGAGGGAAAGGTGCATTGTAAGCCCTGCACACATGCTGCACTACATGCAAACGTGGTGGCTCATTGCACAGCACATTAAAGGCCAAAAAAAAACAAAAAAACTCAGTAGATCTGCAAGCCTTCAATGCATTAGAATGATCTCAGAGTTTGAGGCCTTTATTCTCTATTTCCATCAGCTAAAACTGATCTAAAAAACTTGATCAAAAGTTATTATACAAAGCACCCTCAGAAAATAAGTGTGGATCCCAAAATAGTATTTGACACCCAATCCTACATAGACATAAAAGCTGAAGAATTTAAAACCATTTCTTGGTTGAAAAGGAGGAAGAAGGTTTTATTTTGCATACCGTATCTATCGTCAGAAGCCCTGGTACGGTGCGGAGACCACTTCCTGTGTCCTCCAATGCTGCGATAATAAGCTTCTTCTTTTACAGGTGAAATATTTCCCTCACTACCTGACCGAGAATGGCCACCTTCACTGTTACTGTCCATTGTAATTTCTATGGAAAAAAAGGGAAGGAGCTATTAAACATGCTCTGAGCATTCGGAACAGAGGACCATGGAGACTGGTGCCTCTAATTTACAGGGCACCTCTTCTTTAACACATAATTAATGTTCCGTAGAGCCACTGATTACTTTTAAACAGATAATATCTAACCCTAGTCACAGCTGCATACAAAAAATATTTAAATTTGTCCCCTTTTATGTTTTGGATTTTTTTTTTAAAGATGGTTCTTTGTTGGAGCATCCTTAAGTTGATATATACAATAATCCCGAGCAAGGTATGCTTCAAGATTCCTAATTTTTTAGCAGTGTCTTTAGCTCTAAAACGTTTTTTGGTTGTCTTCACTGGTGGTAACTGATTTGACATGGAATGTTAACACTGAACATTTTAAAGTGAAACAGAGGTATACCAAACTATTGAATGTTCCCCTGTCAGTGTTAAAGAGACAGTATTACTGACAAGTGACAGTCTATGATGTCGCTTTCACTGTTTATAAACTGTGTTTGCACTGGAGTAACATACGAACATGGAACATTGCAACAACATGCTTGGGCTTTAACAAACTTCTGAAATGATCCAAGTGGATGGGTGGAATATTTACTGCTAGTGAATAATTTAATTTTTTTTTGTGAATGTTTGACGGCAAATACTGTAGGTCTTTTTGAACTACAAAATGCTATTGTTTAGCATTGTATGTTTTCAACTTATCATGTCTTCTATTACTGTATTAATGGAAACCAACAATGGATGAAATAGATCCTTATGATTACTGGCTACAAAAACTATTGTATGGTAAGTATCTTTTCATAGTTTCTGAAGAATATTTGCTGTTTTTCTGGTTTACAACTTTTTGAGGCATTTCACATGAGTGAGTATTAGTCACACTAACTAGGAATAGTAAGATAAGCTAAAAAGATCTGCGGCCTCAACTAGTGAACATATCTGGTGCTTCCTGGTATGAAGGAGCATGTCATGTTCCTCCTATGACAGTGCTTAGGTCTACCTATAATTGTTAGGCCTAAGCACTGTCACATGACACCTTTTAGCATTGGGAATTTTAGGGCCGGCTGTTAGAGGAAGGCGTGTCAAGGGAGAGCTGGCAAGGTAAGTATCAGTGGGTCAGAGGGGGGTGCACACACAGACCCTGTCCCTCCACCATAAATCGACAAAATGACAGGGTCTTCAAACTGGCTGAATCAGACTGGTAGCTATGAGACATGTATGGTCTGACAGAATTCATATTCCTGGAAACTTTGACAAATAAGGTCGGCCATTTTTCACTAAATGAATGTGAACATAGTTACAGATTTTAAATGCGCTCCAGTGGATGGAAACCAGAAGCATAAGGTTTATGTTCATTTTTAATATTGTAATTGAATAATTTAGAAACTGCAGACTAAAAGAATTATAGCGTATGATCATAATTAATCCTGTCACTAGTATAAAGTACACAAAGCTATTCTGCTAAACCAATATGCAAAGGAATGCAACTCTCTCTTCAGTAAGACTAGCTTTCTTAAGATCGATATTTAAAGTGGTTGTAAAAGCAGACGATTTTATACCATACAGCATTCTCTGCAATAAGGTAAAAATCTTTCTGTCTTCGCCCCCCCCCCCCAATCACTTACCTGAGTCCGAACTTGATCAAGAACTGTGCCGAGAGCAGCAGCCCTCTCCAATCTCTCTCACCTCACAGGACATGGAGGCAGTAGTGAGAGGCATTGGCTCCTGCTGTTGTCAATCACAGTCTATGTGGAAAGAGTGGGGGTGGGTTGAGCAGTGCTGTGTGTGTCAATAAACACATGGAGCTTAGCTCAGGATAGAACTAGCAATTGGAATTGGGGAGGATCCAGGAATGCCAATGGGGGATCCCAGAAGAGGAGGATCAGAGCCGCTATGTGCAGAACCATTGCACAGAGCAGGTAATTATAACATGTTTATTATTTTAAAAAATAGCTTTACACTCACTTTAAGGGCAATACTACCACATCTTAGTCAACTACCCATATTAAGCTGCTTCCCACAAGTAATGGAAATGTTAGTATCTCAATTATCTTTCCTTGCCTTTTAAAGAAATGTGACACTATTGTAAGATATGTAAAGGTACTCTTAGCTACCAAAATAGAATAGTAATCAGCAGTGACAAGCCAAAAAAGTTGTCTCATAAATGTTTTGAAGTCTAGAAATAAGAATATATCTTATTTATGCATATCTGTCTTTAAGAGTAAATTAATATTTACAAATTAAAGTAGGAGGGAAAAGAAAAAGTTGTATGAACTTGAAATGTAAATGGAAACAAATGGGTAGTGTAGATGAATATGGTCACAACATTTAAACTGACACATAGTGTAACTGTGCTGTGTAAAAAAAAAGTGCTGTCCTAGTGGAATATCATTTCTTCCAAGGGATTAAATATTCAAACTGTAAATATTTACTTTCAGATTGTAATAATGAATTATCTGTTACAGTAAAATATAAATGAAATACAACCTAGTATAGTATTTATTGTTATAGCAAAAGAGCATTTTCAATTATAACAAATACCAAACCAATTTAAATATCACTCCACCTGCCTTAATATTGTAAGGTATGCTAATGAAATCATCATTTCCTAATTCGGATTAATTATCTTTTATATCTGTGCAGTATCCATTTTGGCCAACAGGAAATGTTTAATTTTTTCTTGTTTAATAGGAACAACTATAACCACAGCTGGATCTATGGAGTGCTCTCCTGTCTACAGCAGATAGATGGCACATACTCTGAAAAGTTAAATCTGGTTAGTGCTTGTAAGCAATGCATAGCTAGCATGCATTCAGTTCTGTGTTTATGCTTTTGAAGACAATGTGAAAATAAGTTTTGCAATGTACAGATCATATATGCCTTAGTTTCAGAACATATATTTTTTTTCGTACTGTGAAACTGAAGTGTTTTGTATATTTTAGACATTACACACACTGCATATTTAACATTTTATTCTTATTTCCCAGCAAACATTAAACTCTAGAAAAATAAAAATCTTAAACTTCGGAATATTGATTACTGTGTCAACTCAATTGAAGCACAATTTTTCACTCACACCACCTACACTTACAAAGAACACATAAAAAACACAACAGGCTAGCCAACTAACCAATAGATGGAACCATCATAGGTCGCGGTCTTTGTGGCACTGTACTACCATGTGAGAACCGCTGTACAGGGTGATCCACTCTCTCCGTTCTTCCCAAGGTAGAGTGATTACCTAGAAGCTGAACACAAGCATAACCATAACCAATCTGTTGTACAGAATAATAAAACTAGAGTACAAACTACAGCTTAAAGCAGAAGCTCTAAAGGCAACTAAACTTTACATTTAACTGAAAGGTTAGCTGAAAGACACAGTGGCAACCGTGAGGGATACCTCTTGTGACTCATAAAAAAAACAAATCTAGTCCAGATCTATAAAAGCAATATGTATAATTTGTTTTACCAGGCGAACAAAAAATCCAAACACAGTTGAGATAAATCAATTAGCAGTGCAGAGAACCCATGGCATGATATACTGCTTTTTCTTTAGAAAAGCAAATTCTATTTGCTTTCTATTGGTTTTTGGGTTTTTCACACAGTGCTTTGCTCTACCAAAGTTCCCAGTTAGGGTATGACACACGTGTATAAGAGGGCAGGGTATCCTTGAGCTTGGATTTAGTGATCTGAGTCTTGGGAGTGGTGTGTAGATTATTTTAGGCTAGCTTCTTAGACAGTGACTAGAGAAAGAAGAGGATGTACATGGTGCGCAAGCCTGGCACAGTAAAATGTGGCATTCTGTGAAGCTGCAATGCACTAGTTTTGGCTTTGACTGCTTGCACTTTTTCACTTTGCCAGTGCTGCCATATTCATGATTTGTCAGACTGCAGTGCCCCTGGGACACTTAGCTCTGATCAGATTCCTCCAAAAAAGTGCCTTCAGCACCACAAAAAAAAAAAAAGACCATAACCAATGATAGAAAAGTGAATGGTTCAAAGGACTAAAATTTCCCTAGCCATGGTGTCCTTTTATCATGCAACGGTAAATGACCGCTGCTCCGTTCTCTGGCATTCTCAGAGGAGAGAGTTCTCCTCTGAATGCCTTTTTATGAAGCGGTGTAGATAGCTTCTCCGAATGAAGGGAGAAGCGATCTACAAATGCTTTGAACGTTGGAAAACGGCTGCTGTTACTATAATCTCGTGAGATTACAGTAAGAGATCAGTCAAACACAGTTTACTAAACAGCGGTAAATTACTGCTGCTTCGTTTGTGGTTCCTCTGATTCTCCAGCTCTGGGCTGGAGAATCTGGAGGGAGAACACAGATCGCCAGTGAAGGGCGATCGCTCCTTCATATACTGGCCATCTGTGTGCTGAGATGGTCAGTGGAGAACATGTTCTCCGCTGATCATCTCTGTTTCCTAAACCACTAATGACCTGAGATCAGCAACGATCCTCAGGATTGCCGCTGATCTCTTTTCATAAAAGGACACCCATGTACCAAGCAGATGGGGGGGCTTTGGACTACTGAGCAAATGTGTATCCCAATATCAGGACTGTAGCCTTACAAATAGGCACTATAGCAGAATCATCTATCCTCCTATGAGAACTAGTGGCTTACCAGAGTGCTGCCATAGATCAGCTGTAAATCTGATGTAGTGATACAGACCTACAAAGCTGATCTGTTACCTGTAGTGCTATTGACATGCAAAGCTGATCTCTTACTTGTGGGCTACAGACATGTAGTCTTTTCCCCTTTTGCTCTTGCACTGGTCTGACAGCTTTAGGAATTGCCCAATTTGACCTGAAGATTAATATAGTAGCTTCTCAGCCATCCGTTGCCAACTCTGCCAATCAACACCACTGATTATGGTGCATTTCCACTTTCAAAATGGAATAGCACTTACTTTATATTTGTTACATGGTCTCATTCACATAGAATGTTCAAAATTACTGATTACATTTTGCTTGATCTTTTTTAAAAACCTCAAAACTGAAGTTTGGCTTTGCTATGCAAAATGGTTAATGTCTACCATAATTAATCCTGTCTGTGGTGTGTTGGCAGATCTTATTTCAAATGTAAACTAGATCTGAAAGCTGTCTGAAACCAACAAAGGATTCTAGGATTCTGCATTCTATGTTAAGAAGAGAAAAGGTTCCTCTTTTGTCAGTGGGGACAGATTGAATTTCCTCTTATTTCATATTGTAGCTGCAGTCTGCCTGATGCCTGCTCCAAACAAACACCTAGAAAGATAAGAAATATAAGTATCTGTTATAATTTTTAGGTATGCTGTGTGAATGGGAACACATAAACTTTAAGCTGTGCTCAGACCAGCTCTCTTTGTCTGACCAATAAGTTGCAATCTTAGCCACAGACCCCAGTTCCTAACTTCTTCTAGAGTTTCCAGGTGTGCTGTGCCTCCTGTGTCTTCTGCACTCCCATTCTCCCAGAGATTGTGACCCTTGTGTACTCCAGTGACCCCTACACAATCTATGTGCCCAGGGATCCTTGCACTCCTCTGCCTCCTTGTGGCCTTAGTAAACTTGTGTCTCCAGTGTACCCTGTGTTACCTAATTACTCCAGTACTTACTGTGTCATCTAGTGTTCTTCTGCACTTGTGTTTCAGTTCTGCTCCAGATATCAACCTTTTTCTTGTATCTGACCATACTTGTTTACTGCCTGTACTGACCTTTGCCTTTCCCTGTTAATAAGATTGTCCATCAATTCTGTATCCCTTTCCCTGGTCACTCTGCATGGGGGTGTCTGAGGGCTGCAACCTGGGAGCCATCCTGCAGTAAACCCTATCATCTCTTGCAGGGTGCACTGGTGAATACCAGACAGCACCTTGGACTCTGTGACTTGGACAATCTTAGGGTTCACAATCCCCACCAATGTGCAGACAGCATAGAGGGTTCACTATCCGAGTCTTACAGGACAAGTTCTGAGTGTACAATTGGTTGGTATATTACACAGCCATTGTTATTCCTGCTGAGGCAATTCACAATAAAAGTTTGAGCTGTCAACTTAATGTCTGCAAGTCATTTCTAAGAGAAAGAGCACCAACTATTCTTGATCAAGATTGTCAGAATGTGTATGCAATTTGACCTGCTGTCTGGGGACCTGGTGACTATATTTATTTAATAAAGCTGCTTGTTTTGGAATGTACAATACAATATTGGAGCACAATGCTAATACGATTAGAGAAATTTTAGTATGTCTGCCCGGAGTCGAATGGACATGTAAAAGCCTGCATTAGTGAAGACTTAACTGATTATAATCTCCCAGTTAAATATATAATACTTTTGACCAGAACACACACAACAAAAACAATGATGAACAGCAACCTTTTTTTTTTTAACACAGTATTCTTAAAGTTGACCTGATGATTTACAGTTAGTGAGATATTATGTTGTTTTAAATGAGAAATAGAAAAATAACAGAAAACATAAAGGAGGTACCCAAAGCAGTTATAAGAAAACTAAAAATAACACAGTTACTTCTCCTATTCAGATAATTATTTAATGTACTAAATGTACTCAATGCATGCAGGTTTATTAAGGGTCATTAGATTTAAAATGTAACTCCGCTATTACATATACCGGAAGAATTAAAATTATAGAGTAACCTAAGTTGACTATTTGTCCCCGTTTACTGGAGACAGTTCCTGGCAAACTCACATACCAGCACTACTTCTATATTCACACTGCGCAGTCACTAGTCATCTATCAGGTACTGGGCTGTCTTTCCTTTTCCAGCTGACCAAATAGGGTTAACAGCTTGCACCCAGCTAGTGGTGGCTGACTGTATAGTTCCAGCACATGGTGCTGTGGTTTGCCATGACACCCAGTCAGTGCTGTGATTGCCGCTGTATACATTAGGCATGATATAGGAGAAGCCACTTACATATTCTCCCTCTGGGTCACCTGGCCCGAGAGACCATAGCTGATGCTGGCTCTGTTGTATCCCTTGTCTCACACAGCAGAAACCCAAAGACTTGACAGTAAGAGGAATTTGAGGAGGTATTTTTTTATACTGCTTAGTTTATAGGTCTGTTTTGAAACATCCAGCTTATTCCCCTATTAAACAGATATTTCTTCACAGTAGGAAATGCTTTTAATAAATATATATATAATGATGCACTGTATTGACCTGGACTGTAAACAGTGAGATGAGAACCCAGCTGGAGTCTTCAACTAATTTTTGGGGTCCCAAACTAATTAGATGTGACCTTAACTTTGATTATGTCTGTTGAGAAAAACACACTTTTGATGTCCAAAATTGCTCATCTGTTTCTCTGCATAACTTATTCCAGACCCTTGTACTCTCTGTGTTATACACTTCTGACCCCTGTGCTCTGTGTGTTACTTTCTCTTGACCCAGAGCAGGATAAGCTTTACTTCAGCTCTCTACCACTGTCACTGTTTGTTTTTACCTTTAGACTTCATGCACATTAGGACTTCATGCACATTAGGGCTTCATGCACACTGGACCCCTCCATCTAAACTCCTGTAAAACTTATGTATGCATAGACAAATAGGCTAACATGGAGAGGCATTTAAAGGCAGGAAAAAAAAATGTTTTTGAGCTCAAGTATGCATGAGGCTAAATGTCTGCCTATTGTTTAAAAAATATGGGATCGATTTTTGAATGTATGATAAAACTGGGGGATGTGGCTCCATATGGCATGATTAGGTGAGTGTAGTTAAAAGTAGGTGTGGTGAGTAGGGTGTGTCCAGATTTCATTGTGAAAATCTGGTAACCTTGGAGTAGCCTTCATAGTATGGTTTGGATTGGTGCCCATCCACATTGCACTAGTTATTGTAAATGGTTCTGTGGCTAAATAAAAAATATTTTTCCATGGCTATGGAGGAAGACGAGGAGCACTTTACAGTCAGCACTGGTTTCAGCCTACCACAAAAAAAATGACTGCCAATAATATCCAAGCAGTGGATGAATTTAGATCAACCAAAGAATGTTCACAAGACTGGACAGATACAGATACGCAACCACTGCCAAACCTGACCTTAATGGGTGGAGTGGGCCATGGTTATATGATATCTGCTCCATACCAATGCAAAGTGTATGGTCATACAGTTATTGGAATCAGTTAGATTTTTTGTGTTATTTTGAAGGTGAGATATGTATATATGGAATTGATTGCTGCAATTTGAGGGAAAAATCATACAGATAATTTAATATTACATGGCCTAGACAAATAAAACAATTACATAGGCACTGCTGTTCGAT